TGGCAGCGGCAGGCAGCTGCGCGCCAGGACAGTGGGATGACGGAGCCTTAACCCGGTCCAACGCAAGGAGGCCTGGCCACCATTGCCGCAAAGTCTCCTTTGACTTTGCTTCCGGCGGCTCCACTCGGCCTGTGCCCCCAGATCTCCAGGTCTCAGCCTCACGGGGGTGGGTGTGGGGAGTGGTAAGCAAGAGCTCTGGGTAGACCCCCTGGGACTTCTCTCCCTTCGCTGCCCGGGCAGTTACTCTCCATCTCGGATCTCTTTATCTTCTCTGTCCCCACCGCCAATACCTTCTTCGAGGCAGCATGACCTCTCACCTGGTTGTCACGAGCGTGGTTTCACCTCCCACTGGCCAGCCTGTCCCACCCTACTGTTCATTTTCCACACTTTATCCAGAGGGGAGGCATACAGGGGCTGGCATGCATGTTCACACGCCCGCTCACTTGAAACCCTTTGTGGTCTCCTGCTGCTTTCAGTACAGAATCCAGACTCGCTACCATGGTGTCTCAGCATCTTGGGGATCTGATGCCTGCTGACCTACCTGCCCAGTTTCACGTTTCTCCAAATTTCCACTTTCCAAATTTCCTCCCAGCCTCCACGGCTCTATCTCACCCCCGCCCCTACATACACCCCTATCCTTCAGTCAGACTAAAATACTTGCGTTTCGTTCGTTATACTCCTTTCTCTCTCACTTTGGCCTTAGCACTTGGGAAATAGTGCTCTCCCTTCTCCTATCCCCGCGACCCTCACCTGGATGACCTCCACCTCCTTTAGGATTAAAGGTTAGACATCAGCTCCTCCTCCGACAAATCTTGAGGAAGCTGCTTAGCCGCCTCTCCTGAGCTGCCGCGGCTCAGCTGTGGGATTGCTGTAAGCGTTGTCTGTCTTTCTCCCTCTTCCCCCGACTCCTAGCACAGCGCTCCGCACTTATTACACGTCTGTTGAAGGAATGGACCGAACTGGCGCCTGACCCAGGGACCTGCGCAGACGCAATGCCAACACGAGGTGGCGCTGCGGCCACGTGCATCGGAGGGCAGCCTCCTTCCTGCCTTGCGCAGGCCCGCCTGGATGGGCCCTGATGTCACCACGCGGGCTCCTCCGTGCGCAGTGAGGGTCCTCTGGAATCAGGGACGCTTGTTCAGTGCTGTGATGCCGGTGACATATGTTTGGGAACAGGCTCTTGCCCTGGTGCCCTCATGCAAACTTCAGAAACTCTGACTATGGCCTTTCTTCACCAAAACCCTACCCCATCCTTCCTTCTTCCAAAGCCCCCAGTTCTTAGCAAATTTTATGTTTCCTGCCTTGCTTAACTAGGGGACTTAAGTACTCAAGTTTACGGTTCTACGCTATTCATTCAAGGGCTTGCTTCTTGGAGTAATCTGCTCCAACTGTTGCCTTGAAAATATCACATGATAACTATTACCTATTTGTTGAACTGGGTCATTAAATGATGAAAAAGGGTAGCTAACATGGGCATTTCAAGTACCATGATAGTCTGGGTGGCAGGAGAGGATGTAATTTTTTCCTGGATATATCAGATTAGACTCCAGAGGTAACTGCTGCATGGTCACTGGGAAGGGTCGGCTGCAGAGATGGGTCAGGTGGGGTGTTTTCCAGGACTCCACCCTGCTCTCCTCTGCGTGGGTACCATCACATTGTGCTTTGAGATGCTTCTGTAGTATTTCACAAAGGTGGTGGAGTACAAAGAGCCCTGCTTGGTCTGAAGCCCTGAGCTTCACTGGTGGCCAGGATTTTGGGGCAAGTTCCTTGACCAACACAAGCCCTAGTTTTCAAGTCGCCAGAGGCAGGTGTGGCACTCGATGACCTTTCAGGGTCCTACAGTCCTAATGGTGTGTGAATTTGTGTGAGCCACACTGACCGTGGGACCTGGACAAATCGCCTGATTTTTGTGCTTGTCAATTTCTTTATCTGTGAAATATGAATCATAGGAGTAATTAAGTCATAGGGTTTTTAAAAATTGAGATGAAATTCACATATGATAAAATCAGCCATTAAAAAGTGTACTGTTCAATCATTCTGTTGTGCAGCCACCAGCTATATCGTGTCATCACTCCAAAAGGAAAGCCTGTCCCCATTGAACAGTCACTCCCCATTGCCCCCTCCTCCTAGGCCTTGGCAGCAACCCATCTGTGTTCTGTCTCTGAATTTGCCTCTTCTGGATAGCTCATATACAGTAAGTCACCTACCTATGAACCTTCAAGTTGCGAACTTTCAAAGATGTGAACATGCATGCCAGCCCCTGTATGCCTCCCGTTGTGTGTACTACTGTACTTTTCAAGGTACTGTACTGTAAGATTAAAAAAGTTTTCTTTACTTTTAGTGCTTGTTTTTTATGTATGGATTATTTGTGTGAAGAGTATTATAAACCTATTACAGTGCAGTACTATATAGCCAATAGTACTAACTAGTATACAGTGCAGTACTAACTATAATACCGTGAGTTGGGTACCTAGGCTAACTTTGTTGGACCTATGAACAAATTGGACTTACGAAGCACTCTTGGAACAGAACTTGTTCGGATGTAGAGGACTTAGTGGAATCATACAATATGTGACAATTTATGTCTGGCTTCTTTCACTGAGCATCCCGTTTTTGAGGTTCATCCTCTATCAGTACTTCCTTCCTTTTCGTGGCTGAATAATATTTCTCTGTAGGGACACACTGCATTCTGTTCATCCATTTGTCCACGGGTGGACATTTGTGTTGTTTCTACCCTTTGGCTCTTGTGAATGGTGCTGCTGTGAACAGGGGTGTATGTGAATTTGTCTGTTTTCAATTCAGCTCAGAGGGTTTTTGTGAGGATTGGATGTGTGCTTACCACACAGTGGGAGCAGACAAATGTTAGCGATTGAAGTTGTTAACATTATCCTGAAGGCTTTCAAAGAGGGCTCCACAGGGTTTCTTCCTCTGGCCCTGTCTCTCGGATCCGGGAGCCAGACCTCACTTTCTTCCACCCTCTCCGCTCCCTTTCTGCTGCTGTGGCTCGTGTGGGAAATCAGGGCAGGTAGAGGAGGGTGGGAAAGTCAGGGGAGAGGCAGCGGAAACGAGGATGCAGAGGAGAGTGGCTGGGACAACGATTGAACAAGTGGCGCTGAGTGAGGGGGAGGGGCAGGAAAGACACAAGGTCCCCGGTGGATTTAGAGGATGAGCAGGGCACGTGAGGGCTGCGTCCCTAGTTGCTGCTCTTACAGTGGGAGGGGAGGGCCGGGGCTGGTTGCTGAAGGGGGTCAGGACCAGGGATGCCTCAGGGCAGGACCACGAGGGCGGGAGTGGAAGATGGCCGGACAGCGCACCGGCGGCCTCGCGCGTGAATCCTGAGCACAGGATTCTGGGTGCAGCTGAGGGATTCTGTGGGGTGGAGTCAGGGCTGGAAGCTGGGGACAAGCTCTGGGAATTGTCACCTTGAGATCAGGTGACAAAGCAGTAACAGGCGAACTCAGGTTTTAAGGAAGTTAGTGCTGCCGGAAAGGCAACCCATCTCTGGAATTCCGGGAACCTCTGCTTTCAGGGCTGGAGGAAGCAAAGGACGGTTCACGTAACTTCAGGCGGAGCAATTTCTTCCCGATGTGGAGCAAAGCGCTGGGGCCTAGACAGGCAAAGGCCTCCTCTCGGCCTGGCGTCCGAGAGCCCTGAGAAGAGCCGCTCCCCTTTTCATCCCTGTGAAAGGCAAGGAGGAGGGAACCGCCGGGTGGCTGTGCTTCCCCGAACCATCTGCTCTGGCCTCGGCTTTCAGTCTGAGATTCCCTCTCTCTAAAGTTAAATAAAAAGTTAAATAACGAGAGCTTTGTGGGGAGACCTTATGGGTTGTGCTGGAGGCAGCAGCGTTCGAGGGCGTGAGGGTTGCCATCGCTGATGGATGAAGAGCCAGCACGTGGGGGGCTGGGGGGAGAGGGGAGCCTCGGAGTCAGCGGCAGAAGCCTTCTAACACCAGTTCTTACTGCACCCTGAATGCTGTTTTTCTGCACATCCGTCAAGCTCTCTTGCTCCTCTCATTCACAACTCACTCTAAAAAAGAAATTTCTAGAATCCCCCATTTACTGGGTGAGTGGGCTCATAAGAAGATTAGTGTTCCTGGAGCAGGGCTGGAATTTAAAGGTCATTTAATCCAATCCTTTCATTTAACAGAGGAGGAATCAGAAGCCCTGAGATTTGTTCCTACCTCACCGGGAGTGCGTTGCCGTCAGGCCTAGATCCCGGGTCTCTAGGCTCCCAGCGTGTGGCTTTTCCACTGTTGTGCGTGTTCTCAGAGCCCCAGCCCGGCTGCAGGGTCAGTACAGTTCGTTCCGTTGCTCAAGAGACCTCGCAGGGGGTGTTGCTTCCCTGAATCTATCCTCTCTCTTATTTCTGAATATTTAAAACACAAAAGCCAAACTGTAGAAAAACGATATATCTATTCTTCAGGAGAGAGAGTCTACTTACCTTTTTTCTGTCCTGAGAACCTAGTTAGGTGTTAATGGGCACTAACCAATTAATACAAGAAAACATACTAATTACTGGTAGGAACCATCAAGGCCCAATACTGAGAATCTCAGTGAAGACAGAAGCAACAAAAATTAATCTTTAGACCAAAAAAGGAGAATATTAAATCTGGAGTCAAAGGGAATATGGAAAATTCTAAATAAAAGAATAAAGCACATAAGATTGGCTCAAAAAGAGTTTGGTGAAATGAGACTTATTTTTTATGGTGGGAAGAGTGCTTCTGAAAGATGAAAGTGTATCGGGGATGGCTGTATGTTTAAAACTATTGTCCAGGCCAGAGATCAGAGGCTCTCAGGACTAGACAAGCAAGGAATACATATGACAGGACATAGTTGGTGTAGCTGAAAGTTGGAAATTCTGGGAGGTTTGAGAAGGTTCTTGTGAAGTGGATGAGAGAGCGTGCTGTGAATTTCCTTCTCAGCGAGGCTGTGGTCACCCTGCCCTGTCAGAGGCAGGCGAGGAGGCCTGAGCCCCGCTGACTCGAATGGATTCCCTCTCAGATGGTGGGGACGGCACGCCACGACCGAGAGATGGCGATCCAGGCCAAGCAGAAACTCACCATGGCCACTGACCCCATCGAAAGGCTCCGCCTGCAGTGCCTAGCCAGGGGCTCCGCGGGTATCAAAGGGCTTGGCAGGTAGGACCTGGGCTGTGGGTGGTGGGAAGATGGAGGAGAAAAGCAGGGTGCAGCCAGATGAGGCGAATTCTGGCTGTGTGGCCTCGGGCACTCACTCACTTCCTCCTGGGTTCTCAGCTCCTTGTTTGTAAAATGCAGAGTTTGGAAGCACTCGTCTCTGAGGTCCCCTGTGACAATTTTTGGTTCTTAAGTGCAGCTACTGGGACAACTTGAGGTGAAGGTAGAGGCGTGTCTAGGTATTAGAGACACCTAGCAGGGCAATGAGAGAAACACTCCCTAAAGCTGTGGCAATAGGGGCCGAATCATCCCAGGAGATTGGAAATAGTTCTCTATGTTATACACTAGGACCTTGTTGTTTATCCATTCTACATGTAATAGTTTGCACCTACTAACCCCAAACTCCCAGCAGGGTTCCGGAGAGGCTGAGAAATGCCTTCTGCATGCCCAGAAAAGGAAATGGATATGCTATAGAAGTGTTCGCTGAGCTTAGGGTCAGAGGTTTGGTGTGAATAAATATGGAAAGTTCTCTAATCTTAAAGAAATTAGGGGCCAAATTAGAAGAAGGAGGAAGGAATACTGATTTAGATGCAGTTGCAGGTTTTGGAGTTCCACCTGTAGCACTGGTGTCTCCATCACTTCCAGGGGCTCCGGAATTGCCTGTCAGATAATCAGCAGCTCACTGCCCATGGGATTCCCCCAGCTCCATAAGAGAACAGCTTCTGTTCCCGGCCCTCTGAGAGTGGGAGTAGCCCTCAGGACTGAGAAACCCGAGTGGAAAGAGATTGTAAGCGTCCTGATGGCAGGTCCTGAGCATTCTCTCTTTCCAACAGACTAAATCCAGTGCCTGCCATGCGCCAGGCATCGTGACATCTTGGGGGATTCATGGGTGAACAAGGCTTCCCCTGGACTCATGGAGGACTTAGACTCAGGACGCTGAGAGCCACAAAAATGGGAATCCTCCTGGTGTGAGAGTTATATGTTAGGGAAATGCAGGATGCCACGCCAGGGGCCTCCAACCTCCCATCTGGAGGCTGCGGCAGGCTTCACTTCTACTGAGCTCTGGCATGTCACTTTCCACAGTCCCCCAAATCTCAGACCAAGCTGAGCTCTGTCAGAAGCCCAGGCTGTAGCCAGGCTGTCACAGTCCAACTGGAAGACCAGTCCACTTCCCTTTAATATTGTATCACTCCACCCTCTACCTCTTTCATCCTGGGGCCACATTCTTGTCCTCGGTGCAAACCCTTCATGACCACCACCCACGGTCCACTTCCTGGCCCATTCAACTGAATGCCTCCTGCCATCTATGCCATCTCCACCCCACACCCTTACCACCCCTCCCACCGTGAACCAGTTTATCGTGAACAGACACCGTCTCATCCTTGGCCCTTTGCTTGAACGTGCCCTCTGCCACCTCGCCTTTACTGGCCTTGCCCTTCCCTAAATTTCTCCTCAGCTCAAGGGTTGGCTGCCCCTTCCCCCTTTTTTTCTTATTATTAGACTGGGATTTTGTTTCTTTGAGGACCACAGAAGTAGAGTGCCATTTTCATCATGTCACATCACGGATGCATGCGTGCTATCAACATGGTTTATCCCTACTGAAGTTGACCTTGGTCACCTGGCTGAGGCAGTGCCTGTCTGGCTTCTCCAGTGTAGAGTTACTCTCCCCGCTGCCTTTCCATGTTGAACTCTTTAAAGGGAAGTCTCTATGCAGAGTCCTACTTAGGGTGTGGGGAGTAGGCTTTGCTCCTTCAGGACAGAGAATGAACATAATTTATTTGAAATTCTTCTGCAGGAGAAACGTCTCTCCTCTCACATTTATTTATTCAATCATTTACTTAAACCAATATTAACTCATGGATATTCATTTTATACTTTGGTTTATAATTGAACACTACTTATTGCTCCAGTTGGTCCAGTTTTGGCCTTGGCAGCTCTTCAGTTGGCTTCTGTGTCCCTTTGAGGTATCCCCATCAGTGTAGAGTTTCTTCCCCCTTACCTTCTGGTATAAGGTACTCCAGTCTCATCTTGCATATTTCCTGCCCCAATTCTAGGATCAGAGATTTCTTCAAGAAAGTCAGATACTTTTACTGGAGAATTGTATTAGAAACCAAGATCTAGGCTGTAGATGTGCTGGTTCTTACTGGGTTGTTACTTCCAGGTCCTCTTAGCTAGAACAAGGAAATATATGTGTTTATACTAACCCGTGTGTGTATATATATGTATATATGTATGTAATCATGTATACATTATATATTAATCATCTATGTTTATAACATGAGTTCCTACTGATGTCTCCAACTCAATCCTCTACCACATGGATCAGATCCTTCTAGCTTACTGCCCTAACTTAGCTATAAATCCCCATTCCAACAGTGAGAAGCCTGGCTGCCACCATCCACCAGCCATTCATTTAATTGTTCAGTGCTAGGGTACCCGTCTAGCAATATGATAATTGTTAACTCATATCTCCACAGGAAATACCTTTGTCAACTAGAGTACAGAGGTTAAGTGCAGTTCTTTTTGTCTTTAGTCTTACAAACTCTACTCGTTTCCAGAGTTACTTAAGTCGGCATCTTCGTCTCCCCATCCCCCTTCAGTGAGATTGCCTCAAACTTTTAAACAACAGTTAGATTCTCTTGTCACGGTCTGCATTCCTTCCTGGGATCCCCTGAACTCCTAACTAATTTTAATGTACACATTAAAGTGTACTCTTTGTACTGTGAGGTTCTATGGGCTTTAGCAAATGCATGTCCTGTATCTCCCATTATAGTATCATACAGAGTAGTTTCACTGCCCCCCAAATCCCCTGTGCTTCACCTAATCTTTCTCCCCTTCCCTTTGTCTTTTTACCACCTTTATAAGTTTTGCCTTTTTCAGAATGTCATATAATTAGAATCATACAGTATATTTTTAAAGGTTTGTTTTCTTTTCTGAGAGACTGGGAAGAGGCTCACCAGATTTGGGAGGAGGGTACAGAGAAGAGTCTAAGACTTGTCTTTTACTTCAGAAAAACCTTGAGAGTGGTTTTCTTCTGAAATCTTTATTCTTACACCTTGTTCTCTGTGTTTTTTCTTCTTCTTTTGTATGTGTGTTTTATCTTCAGAGCGTTTCGAATTATGGATGACAATAACAACAGAACCCTTGGTTTCAAAGAATTTGTGAAAGGGTTAAATGATTATGCTGTGGTCATGGAAAAGGAAGAGGCAGAAGAGCTTTTCCAGAGGTCTGATAAAGATGGAAATGGAACAATAGACTTTAATGGATTTCTTCTCGCATTAAGAGTAAGTGGTCCCATGAATCACCGTATCTACTGGGTTTGGCTTTCGAGTGGTTTGTGTTGGCTGTTGTGAGGCTTGGTTCTCGAAGCTGTTAGCACACCGTGGGGGAGGCTGGCAGGAGACCGAGTGCAGGCTCAGGGATCTTTTGAAGCAGTCATAATGCACATCCTTTAGCAGCACACAAACAATTGCACGTCACTGAGAGGAGTAAGATATTTCATCACAGATGATACAGGAAAAGCTCATCTGCTTGTGTGTGTCTGTGTATGTGTTTCTTTCCTACGTATCTAGCCTCCAATGTCCAGAGCCAGAAAAGAGGTAATTATGCAAGTTTTCAGAAAGTTAGACAAGACTGGAGATGGCGTGATAACAATTGAAGACCTTCGTGAGGTGTACAGTGCAAAACACCACCCGAAGTACCAAAACGGAGAATGGACAGAGGAGCAAGTGTTCCGGAAATTTCTGGATAACTTTGACTCACCCTATGACAAAGATGGAGTGGTGAGTGAAAGAGCTTAATCTAGTGAAATTTCTTCTATCCGATCTGTAATTGTAAATGGGAAACAGACCAAAAACCTTAAAAATACTTATACCATATTTTTTATAAATAGAAGTAAAATGTTTCCTTGGTGACTATCTAGAAAGCTGAGAACAAAAGTAGTAAAAATGTGTGTGTGTGTGTGTGTGTGTGTGTGTGTGTGTGTGTGCACATATATTGGTAGGGGAACCACATACAGCAAAATACCCATCATCTGAAGACTGTGGTATTTTGGTTAAATGTTCTATTTCATGGTTGCCGTATGTACCATACACAACTAGCCTAATTCCAGGGAATTTGATGATAATAACGTACATTTAACTTCAAGATGAGACCATAATTCAATTTTAGAGAACATGATTCACAGAGCATTTCAGGATGCTCATGCCTTTTTCATACACCCTTAGGAGCATCATTTGTCATCACACTTTGCTACATGGAAATGCCATTTCAGGGAAGTGTTCAGTAAAGGGAATGCCAGATAAGAGAATTCACTTTGATTTAATCTTTGGTGGGCTTTGAGATGAACTCGCATTTCTAAACTCCAGTGAACTTAAGGACAAAAGCAACCACGTATCTCCAATAACTGGTGTCTTCAAGTTACAAATGTGTCACTTGGTAGGGTAAGGAATTATACCTCCATAACTGTGTCTAGGCTCAGATGGAAATGTCCTCTGTCTTTTATCAACAGCCAGAAATGGGATTTTTTTTTTTCAGTACGCGGGGCTCTCACTGTTGTGGCCTCTCCCGTTGCGGAGCACAGGCTCCGGACACGCAGACTCAGCGGCCATGGCTCACGGGCCCAGCCGCTACGTGGCATGTGGGATCCTCCCGGACCGGGGCATGAACCCGTGTCCCCTGCATTGGCAGGCAGACTCTCAACCACTGCGCCACCAGGGAAGCCCAGAAATGGGATTTTTAACCCAAGATCAGTTCTGCCCTGAGGTGTCCTGAAGGTTATGGTTATGGGGAAGGGAGTTCTCTGCGTGGCTGAGGCAGCAGAACCCTGGGGAGGGTTACTCCTGACCTCTTAGCCACACAGGAAGGATTTAGTGGGACAGTGAGCTGGAAGCAGAGATGGTAGAAAGAAACAAGCCTTCTCATCCTGAAGGGAATTTCCCCCAATTTTTTTTTCCGTGAAACTTTGTGGTGAGTCCAATGAGCGAGGGTTGAAGAGGGCAGGAAGGAGATCTTTCTGTCCTTTCTGCTGACATTTTCCTGCCAGGGACAGAGAAATACCCTTCATTTTAGCCCGAAGTGATTGCAGAGGTGGATAAAAAAGGAGCCTAGATTCTGTCGGGCAGCCAAACGCCTAGGGACAGAAACAGCAGAACCGTATGTTTTCTTCCCATATGGCTGCCCTTTGATCTCTGAGATGGCAGTGGAAAAAGAGCCAACTGCCATTTCCCCAAATTAGCCCAACTCTACATGGGATCCCAGGGTGTATTTACCTCTTTTCTGCAGGTGGTTCCTCCTCGTTGCTGGGGAAACCTCAGCTGCCCTTTTCTCTAACCCAAGTCAAAGTAGCCAGTTGTTGTGATTCAGCTGATTTAAAGCTCTCACCCCATTTCTTTTGACATTTATCTTCGCAAGCCACATTAGGTTCTCAAATACTCGTAAGGGTTACTGGGGTTTTTAGCAGTTACAGCATTTGATGTCACCTGAATTTCACAGACCCTGCATAAATCCCCAGCTCTGTGCACGTTCACCATCTGGGGAATGGATTCATAATGCAGGTTGCTGGCTGCTCTGAAGAACTGAAGAATCTGATTTTTTTTGTGCTGGGCGTAGGGGGAACAGATGAAGCTCAAGGATTTACAGTTTTAATAAGTATCCCAAATGACTCTTATTCACAGTTGTATTTGAGATCCTTGCCTCTAAAAGATTCAGAAGTGCCTGATTTAATGACTACATACATTATGCACAGGAACCTCATTTAGCATAATTATGAATCTAGGGAATATTTATTGAGTGCTTACTGTCTCCCAGCCATTGTGCCAGGACTTTACAGGGATATTCCATTTAATAGACATAATGAAAATGTTTCTGAAAAGTGATATGCGATTCACACTTTTCCACGTTGAATCATTTTAAATGCCCAAGGAACTGTCAGTATAAAGGAACTCCAGATGGAGCTTAAGGTTGGATAACTGGGGAACGCAAAGGAGGACAGAAATAAAGAAATGCAAGAAAAGAGACATTAATGGTATTCTAATTTTTACCAAAGCTATGTACATATATTATTTAATTCTACTTCCAGACACTGATAAGCGCAGCTCAATTAGTAACTCCATTCAACGCCTTTCTTCCTACTACTTTTTGCTATTTTGGGGGGACAGACAGGTGGAAGAGGTCAGTACAGGGAGAGGACTGTGGATCCTGAGACTTTTTTCTCTGTTCACTTATAATTTCAGCAAAAAAAGTAAGTGGGTCATTCAGCTCATGTGATTCTTGGAAGAGATAGCTATGTTCCCAAAGACTTGGTGGGAGAGGAGTTTGCTGTTATGGACTAGAAAGGGGTTTTGAATTGTTCACGGATTTCACTTTTTGTGATGTTTTCAGTCTCTCACGACACTGAAATTTGAGGGCTAACTAGAAAAACAATACATTTCCAAAACAGCCATCATTATTGTGTCTGCATTCTCCCATATAAGCAAGTCTATACTTGGGGCTACATTCACTGGTTATAGAGATCCAACCAGAGGACAATTATTTCCCTCAATCAACCAATTGTGTCAGCCAATATGGTTGAATTAGAGTGTACGTTTCACCTCCACCTCTTAAAGAATAAATTGGTAACAGTTTTTTCTTTTTTCTGGAAGGAAAGGAAAGTAAAATCCTAGCACAGATAAAAATATTAGTTGAAACAGGCATGGGAGAAGAGAGAACCCAAGGGGGCATGGAGCAGGGGGTATCTTTTTAACTTCCTCTGTGCCTAGAATGAGTAACAGGTATCTTAAAAAAGCATGAAGCCCAGGAGTGTTTAACAAGAAATCTGTTTCCTTACCCATAAGACTGAGCTCCATTTTTTGAAAGGTAAAACATTTCTTGTCTTGACACAAGGACATGAGGTGATGTTTCTGACGTGTCACAGAAAGACGGTATTCACTGTGGTTAAAGACAACTTGTTTCTTATTCTGAGTTTCAGTCTTGCTTACGTGAACAGATGGGCTTCTGCTCTTAAAGGAAGACAAGACCTGTATCTCACTTTCCATTTAGGTTGGTTTGGAAATTTTCAAGACTTTCTTCCCCTCTCCCCCTCGGCCACCCCCTCACTCCATCGTCAACCTCCCTTTTTCTCTTGTTCTAGATCTGTTCCTCAGCTGTGTCCCTAAAAAGCCTCCTTGACTGAAATTTCCCTCCCATTTACAGGTCCTGGAGATGGGCCTCCACTGAAATGGTGAGAAGCAAAGTTTTGTTTTCGTTTCTTACTTTTCCACGGTAGGTGACCCCCGAGGAGTTTATGAACTACTATGCCGGGGTGAGCGCTTCCACGGACACCGATGTGTATTTCATCATCATGATGAGAACTGCCTGGAAGCTCTAAATGTATGACCCGGGCACCAGGGATTTGAGTGCTGCCATGTGGCTCCAAATGATTAAACATCAGCTCAAAACCAGGATCATAGCTGAGTTCACGTTCACCCCAGGGTTTCTTCCGTGCTCACGTACAATGCATTTTCTAGGGCAGAAATGAAGAAACTAAGTATTTAACTGTGACTTCTCTGAGGCTGCTTCTTTAGCTCTAAAATAGGAATTAGTTAAAATAAGGTCCGAAAATCTCCTAGAGCCAGGCTGATATATCCAGGTATCTAATAAACATTAGATTTCTTCCTTGGCCATTAATAAAAGTTTAAGTATTATCCCACCCATGCACCCAGAGTGTTTCTCCATATCCTATTAGATGGTCCATTTCTAGGTGGAAGAATTCACCTATTTTTATGAATGACTATAAATCTTCATGTGCCTCAGTCCCAATTTGGGGACCAGAAGGAGACCTCACATTCGCCTCTATTTCTATAACTGAATGTTGAGTTTCTCTGCCTGTGGTTTCGGGAAGCCTCTGTTTGGCGAATAGATTTAAAATGACTTTTTTGGGTCATTTTAAAGGCTGGTGTGAGACTGGAGACCATTTCCTTGAGCAGTAGAGCCAGGACTGTTTCTGTGGTTAAATTCTGAGGCTGGGCTGTGCTCTCAGAATTTATGTGGGACATCTCAGCTGTGAGTGGGCAGATCATATCAGTGGTCTGCTGGAGTATTCAGCTCTCCCCTCCCTGCTGTTGGCCCATCACGCTGAAGTCCCCACCAGCACAAGGAGGTGGGGCATGGCATAGACCAGGATCACAGGCACACTCCAAAGCAGCTTTTCCATCCTGACACTTCGTGTCTCAGTTCCTTCTCCTCCAGGTCTAAGCTTTAGCTTCATATTGTTGATGTGTGAGCATCTCCCCAGGAAAGGCTTCTAAGCAAAGGTAGCCCCTGCTGCTGGAAAGTAGATACTGAAACTGCAGCTCTCTCTCTTTGTGTCCTGTTTCTGGGCCAGAGATAAAAACACGGTGACTAACCCTCTGGCTATGGTGCCGGAGGGAATGACCTTGTTACTCAGGGACAGTCCTTTTTGTCACTCTGTCCCTGGCTGCACTCATTCCCTGGTTCAGGGACATAGATTGGGGTAACTTTTCCCTTTATGATCTTATGTTTTTAAGTGGCTCTGGATTTAGTGTCAGAACACACTTGCCATTTTTTGTATCAATTCATTTGTTTACTTTTTACTTCGCAGATTTGGAAGTTGGGATCAGGATATACATTGATTTAAGAATTGTGAAAACAGATGTTTCCAGATGATAATGGTAGCAATCATCAAAGAGGATGCCTTGCTTTGTTTGTTGTTGAGAAGCTAAACTCTTAGTTCCCCTGGTGACAGGCTGGAAAGGAGACCTTTTCTTGAGGATGAGAGCATCCCCATATCATGGGAAGCTAGCTTTTGTTTTGCAAATTAATGGCACAAGTCTGGTTTTCCATTGGATTTATTATGTAGACTTATGTAGATGGTGGCAGTCCAAAAGATGCCAAGTATTATGAAGAAATATGTAGGAATGATGTAGAAAGCCAGAAGAAACTATGAAGAAATGGACAGGGAAAATATCCATGTCTTCTGCAGCCTATACCTTGCAGATTGTGACTAAGGAGAGGCCCCCGGTTATCTGCGCATGGTGGGTTCAAGCCTGCTGCTCTAGATAATTTGTGTCTTTGATTCTGGGAATGACTCATGCCTCTGCTTAACTGGGGCCATAGAATTAGCATGTGATTCTGAAGAAGGACTAGGTTGCAGCTATCAGCTTCGTCTTCCCCAGTAGTACTTAGCTTCCTGTCTAATTGGGGCACAGGACACTGCTATCAGATTTCTGCTAATCCATGCCTCACAGTGTATTGGGTCACATTAAGTCACCTCCCTTCTAGCAGGTTAGGTTCTAGACTGCAGCGAGGGTTCCACCACGGCCCCATTGCCCTCCGGAAACCAGATCTAATAACCTGATGGTCAAGGATCACTCCACTCCTGTTCTCAGTCTTAACCTCTGGTTTCTGGCCTAATCAGCAATCACTCATTATTTAAGTCTATTCCTTCTGGTAGCAGTGGGAGGAACAGAGAAGGGTCATTAAAAACTTTATTTGCTCATATTTTTTCTGTGTATATATATATATTTTTTAACTTGTACATTTAAAACATTACTCCCTTTGTAATTAAAAAAAAAATAGATAAACTGACCACTTAGGTAAGAGGATAAAACACAAAACGTGTCTCCCAAAGAACCCTTGGGAGCGCTTCAACTGTTAGGCCTGGGCCGCAGATAGAAACTTACACAAATAAGCCAAAGAGCAGAGGATGAGATTGGCAGCGTTTCATGAAACAGGAACAATGAGAATTCTGAGAATCAGGATTGGTCAGAACAAGCTACCAGTATTGGTACTGAATCTGGGTTTCTAACTCCCCGCAAGGCAAACCCAGGGAAGAATGGAGGAGCCCTGACTCAGTCGCTGTCAAGAGCTGGAGCACATCCTGCCTGAATTCCAGTTAGAGGGCAAACGAGAAACCCAAGATGCATGAGTTGAATTGTAGACTGAGGCACAATTCTTCCAGCCAGTCTGCGGGGCTGATTTTCAGTCATTTAAACCCTGATAGGATTTCTTTCCAGACCCCAGATGGCCCTCTGGAGGACAATGTATGGTTCTTTGTGGTTTGGTGGCAAGCATGGAGTCACGTTTCATACCGTAATAGCAGCTTTTAAGGCAGAGCTGGGCCTCCTCCAAGTAGGCTGCATACGTCGTGGTTTTCGGGTGAAAATACATCCCGTCAAAAAATACTTATTGAGCCACTGCCATGTGCCATGTTCTTTTCTAGGCTGTGGGGATAAGCAATGTGCTAGAATAAATGCAAACAAAACTACTGGCTTTGGGGCCAATCTAACTGCCCACAGTCTTTAAGAGATCAAAGAGGAAGGGAAGCGTGGGCACTGAAGTTCCCCTCTCTGAGTCTCATCTGGCTTCTGAATCAGGGAGGCTGGGACCCTTCACATGGTGGTGTGTGGAAGAACTATGTAGTGGATCTGATGGGTGTAGACAGTCAAGGAAAATACCCTTCTATTCTTGGAGGTAGGTCACTGGCCCTTCACTTCTCCTGGCCGGTATGGGACACCTCACTGAATCACAAGAGTACAAGCAGGTCATGATTCAACCCTCATCAGGCTCCCTACAGATGCAATTTATTCTACTGATGTTTAATCAAGTGGAGGTTAAATTAACCAGATGTATTCTAGGATGGTGTGTGGGTGCCTTTCTACCCTTTCCTCATGAAATTCTACTAACACGCTCTGAGCAGTGTACCTTTTTGGATTTACGCGTCTCTCTTTGGGGCATAGAATAAAAAACAACTTCACAACTTCCAGTTTTTCAGATTAGTCAGCAAACTTGCTTTCCTGGAAATTATAGGCTGTTCTTTTAAATGAAGAGCTTGTTGAAAGACGCAACAAAGTTTTAAATTTTAGAAATTCTTATGATTGAAGGGAAAACAAAGGTGCCGAGGGTCTGATAGATTGTTATATAATGTTATTTTCATGTAATTGATCCTTTGAAAGCCGTATTTCTAAGCATAATTTTACTCCTCCAAGTTGCTTGTATGAAAATGACATAAACCTTGATAGAGAGAGCTAGTTATTTGTTGTAATAATAGTAAAAAAAAAACTACTAAATGAATCCCCTAAAATTAAGTGTTCTAAAACAGATGATGGGTGAAATCTGTTGAAAGAAACATAAACAAGTGATTGCTGGGGGTTTTGAGAAGAGCACTGTGTGAGAAGGGATCTTTTTGCCATCTCAGTTGGTGTGGTGAGGGGTTGTGGTGAAACAGCTCTTCCTCTCTGAGAATAGCACGAGCTTTTTGTTTCATTCTCACACCTGCTTCTCCAGAGCCAGTATTTCCCCTCATAAAATGGAGTGGAAGGTGCTCCTCAGGAGAGAAACCCCTTGAAAATATGAGCAACCAACCAGTAGCTGAGGTTGGACCTCGCCACCACCAGAAAGGTAGACAGCATCAGGGAGGGAACATCTCAAAATGTAATGGTCTATTTTCTTTTGTTCTGGATACTTCTCCCTCTTCTTCATAAATGGAATATATTTTTATTGCTCTGGAGTATCATAAATGTCCTAATAGCCACTGAATGCTGTGGATGCATTTTCTGTTTCACCAAAGGTCCTGTGAGTACCATGGGTTTCCGGCTCCCCCTTTGCTCCCAACAGTGGACCTGTAGCAAGCAGCTCAGATGCAGGAAGGGTCACACCCAGCTTTACGTCACGCTGGCCACACAACCATCGTTCATCTCCAATTTCATCCTGCTCTAGACCTCATAATAAATTTACAAAGGACCCGGCGACTCAGAGCTCAAGCACTTGAAATTTTTTTTTTTTTTTGCGGTACGCGGGTCTCTCACTGTTGTGGCCTCTCCCGTTGGGGAGCACAGGCTCTGTATGCACAGGCTCAGCGGCCATGGCTCACAGACCCAGCCGCTTCGCGGCATGTGGGATCTTCCCGGACTGGGGCACGAACCCGTGTCCCCTGCATCGGCAGGCGGACTCTCAACCACTGCGCCACCAGGGAAGCCCCAAGCACTTGAAATTTGAAGCAAGCCTTGAGCCTGTAGTTTGTAATCCTGTCATTGAAGACTTGGGTACCTATTTCTTTACTCGTCTTAACACTTGGCGCTCAGGGACTGGTATTGATCCTGGGAACATCTTGATCTTAAACTTGAAAGGTTTGAGTTGCTGGTCTCCTAGGAACGCTCAGGCCGCATGCAGAACTGGAGACAATCAGTGCTCCAAGGGAGGCTTAGGACAGGATGCGGACCTGCGGTTGAGAGAAAATGATGGATGCCCAGTGGCCTCCTCCTGCCACAGTGCTTCCACCTTGATGGGATAAAGTGGGGCACGAATGCAGGGTATTAGCAAACATCAGGCATTACCTCAGAAAACCCAGATCATTCCTTTAGTTTCCAAGGAAACTGGGAAACTAAATACCATTCTACAGATTTCATACTTAGTCATGCCTAAAATCTCATTTAGCAATATCATTCAGCACCCATTTACTTCAGGTTATCTTTGAAGCTGCAAAGTGAATATAGTAAATCACCATTAATTTAGGCTCCAATAATTGAGCTCATTTAGGTAGGGTTTGTGTGACAATTAACTTTTGTTTCATCTATACTAAAAAAGACGGGGCTGCGA